TCCCCAGTCACCAATCTCACCTTCCATCCTTTGGGGAGTCCTCTTGGATCAACCAAATTTTTATAATAAAAACTTAAAGGAAGAAGTATTTTTAAATGCACAAAAGCAGGTGTTTTACAAAATATGGGTTTCAAATGCAAATTTAGTTCCCATATTGGATAAGCAGACACGAAATGGTGGACTTTGAGTGATCACAGTAAGAATGAAAAGGAGCCACCACTGTGTGTGTGTGTGTGTGAGTGTGTGTGTGTGTGTGTGTGTGTGTGTGTGTGTGTGTGTGTGTGTGTGTGTCTATTTTGCATGTGGATACACACAAAGATCCAGGTGTACTGCTCTGTGTGTGTGTGGTGGCTGTGTGTTCAAAGACTAAAGGATGACACCCCATCTCCCTCCGTTGCCCTCCACCCTATTTTTCTGGAGGCAGGGTCTCTCACTGAACCTGGAGCCCACCATTTCCGATAGACTGGCCAGTCACCATGGCCTTAGGATCCACCTGTCTTCACTCCACACCCCGTACTGGGGTTAGAGAGTCTCCCTGTGCTTACACGGCAAGCACGTGACCCAGTGAGCCGTCTCCCCAGTCCAGGGAGATGGTCCTGAAGGCAAGACACAGCAGAGCGGTGCGGGACCTGAGGCTGAGGCCCAGAGTGCGGGTACTGAGCTTTGTGGATGGGGACAGGAAAGAGGGGCATCTTTAGTGGGGACCAGGAGGGAGTGTGATGCACTGGGGTTCTGAATATGATTACAAGGTGAGAGTGTCTAGCCAGCAGCAGTTCCAGCCCCTGGAACAACTGGGTTTAGGAAACAGCTTAGCCTAAATCTGCATCGGACAATCACCTGGCACAAAGAATATTTTTAAGAAATCAAAACACACTGCGTGGCCATGCCTGGTGATGACCTAAGTTCCACCCCTGGACTCCACACAGTGAAGGGACAGAGCTCACTCAGCAAGCTGTCCTCTGACCTCCAGTGCACATACACTCTTACTCAGGAAGAATGACGGGGTGGGAGGGTGGGGGAGTGGTTAGTTTAGAACACAACATACCCATGAACAGGCCAAACTTAAGGGTCTAGAGGAGGAAAATTCTCCTAAAAAGCGGAGTAGATTCGAAGGCAGAAGGGAGTTTCATAAATGCTAGTTGAGAAAGAGATCAACTGAACTACAAACACCAAACGCTACCAAGACACCAAAGGGAATCCAGCCTGGGCCGGGAGAGCAGAGAACTGACCCATAAGGAGTTCACCTGTGCATGGCTTCAGGGGGAAAAAACAGCAAAACTAGAATGGAGGCATAATGAAGGACTAGGAAGGCGGGCGGGAGGGGGGAGAACCTGCCTGAACCTGTACCCTCTCTCTGTACCTGAGCCTCCTCATCCCAGTCACAGCCCTGCCACACAGTCCATTGTTTGTTTACTTGAGACTGCGGGCTCCTGGGTCTGTATAAAGAGAGGCAAAGGCAGCCAGTGAGGGAGCCACAAGATTGGGGTGGGGGAGACACACCCTCCCCTGCGGGAGATTCTGGGGAGACACCTGAGGACACTGGGAACAGTCCCTTTGGACACAAGGCTCCTTTTGCTCCGCACCACCCTCCTACCTGTCTCTGTAACATAAAATAAACTTGGAGCACGTTGGAAAATTCAAAGGAGGAGATAAATGGATAGATGGGAGTCCGTGATGGATAAATGTGCATATTTCAGTTGAAGCACTTTGTGCTTTGTGCAAAACAAAGTCGGGATGGAGGGCCCCTGTCCAGGTGTGGGTCTACCAAAGGACCTGAAGTCAATCATCCACTCACCTCCCAACAGACAACAGGCACATGAAGAAGATGGCGCTGGCAAAATCATTCGGGTCAAAATCACCTCCCAGGATGTCAATCACACGACCAGAATAGTGAGGAATTGAGGCCTCTCCTGAAAGAGGCAGGAAGGATAGGGAGGCTGCACCCTGCCGAGGCCCTTCTCCCACCGCCCTCCCTCCACGGTGGCCTCTCCCTCTCACCCAGCACAGCCACCACGAGGAAGAAGAAGGCAACCATGAGGAAAGGCAGGTCCGGCCGGGAGAGCTTCAGCAACCGCCACATCAGGGCTTTGTTGTTCTCCTGGCCAGGCTCCTTCTCCTGGGCTCCTGGAGGGCTCAGCACATCCCACACGGCCCTGCCCAGCATGGCAGCCCCATAGCCAGCCAGCAGCCAGCCCCACGAGGCAGAAGCCACTCTGACTGCTGGGGCACTCATGGTGCCTCCCACCAGAGCTCTCAGCGAGAAAAACAGGGGGGTGGCCAGGCAGAGCAAGGGCAGAAAGGTCCCCACCGTCCCCAGCACCCCTCCCACTGTTAGCAGTCCCCACAGCCCTCCAAGTCGCAGGGTGCCCTCCAGCCACAGTCCTGGAAGCCCCTGGGGAAGCAGATTTCCCAGAGACCCCTGTAGCAGCGCAAGTAAAGCCATGTCCACCAGCAGCAGAGAGGCCCAGGGCCTCAGGTAGGCCAGCGCCATGATGGGTTCTGCAGGGAGAAAGGGAGAAATTAGGGCGGTGGAGTTCCCTGGCCACAGGCCTCCTGCCCGGAACCCACATCAGGCTTCAACTTCTCATTTTATGCAGCCTCACGGAGAAGGTCTCCTCCTAGTCACACCTTTCCTGGGATCCATGCCATGCTGCGGGTCTGAAGGAGTGGAAAAGGCCACCCAACACACACACACACACACACACACACACACACACACACGGGGGCGGGGGAGGGCTGGTCTGCTGTCACCACGCCTGTCCCTTTGAAGGTTCTTGGTGTTAACCGAGAAGACTCAGTCCCCGGTCACACTCCCTCCACTCCCCGGGTCCTTAGAGCCAGGGAACAGCGTGCAGCAGTGGGACGCAGAGTCAGAGGACTTGGGGCAGGCGGCACCGGACAGAAGACAATGACAGGGGACACCGGGCAAGGGAGCGGACCGAGGACCTTGGGCAAGGGGTGAGGGGCAGGGGACCTGGGACACTGGGTGAGGGGCACAGGACCTGGGGCAGAAGACCTGGGACATTGGGTGAGGCAGGGGCGTGGGGCAGAAAACCTAAGGCAGGACCCGGAGAGGGGAGCGAGATGGGGACACCAAGGGTTTGGGAGTGGGCCGCACCCCTGCTAGCGCTCGGGCTCTATCCACAAGAACTCACCTGCGGACCAGCAGCTCAGGAGTGCTTCTGAAATCTGCTTCTTCCCAAACTGGATCCCCCGGGTGCGCCCGCGACGGTCTCGCAATGAGACCGCCCGGTCCCGCGACTTTCGCTTTCACTTCACTGCCCAGGTCCCGGTGCTGCGCACAGCGGCCAGCAGGCGGCGCCTGCCAATCTGCGGGTGGGGTGAGCGCCCCAAGTCCCCAAAGAGCCTCACCCACCCTAGTTGGCCGCTACTAGCAAAAGCCTCCGAGGGTCTGAGCTGCTTTGTCATGGGAAAAGCCCTGCATTTCCCCGGTTGCTCTCTCGAACTCCGGACCTATTTTAAGAAGCGCTCGTGTGGCTGGGAACATAGTTCAGAGGAAGAAAACACTTGCCTGAGCTCTAGGTTCATTCTCCGGAAGAAGAGGAGGAGGAGGAGGAGGAGGAGGAGGAGGAGGAGGAGGAGGAGGAGGAGGAGGAGGAGGAGGAGGAGGAGGAGGAGGAGGAGGAGGAGGAGGAGGAGGAGGAGGAGGAGGGAAGGAGGAGGGGAAAGGGGGGAGGGGAGGAAGGAGGAGGAGGGGAAGAGAGTGGAGGAGGGAGTGATTTTAGATGCCCTCCCAGTCACCCAAACAATTAACAATGGACCACACAGGAGTCCCACTTCTGGAAGGGGGGGTAAGGAGGAGGGAGAAGGGGGGGTAAGGAGGAGGGAGAGGAGACGAGGGGCTTAGTTTTTTTTTTTTTTTTTCCAGACAAGCCCAGAAACAGAGGTCTTGGGGTAAAACGTGGGGCCTTCATAGAAGGCCTAGCCCCTATCACCAGGCTGAAGGTTTCCTTTTGAACCCAGACTTTGTCTTCAGACTTCCTTCTCAGTGTCGGACCTGCGGGCCTGCGGTGAGGGTCCTGGGTCAGTGCCAGGGCCTACTGATGTGAGGGAGAGGCTGGTTTAGGCTAATGCTATCAAACAGCGACAGTCTCTACCCAACCTCCTCCCCCGGAGCCCAGTTTATCGAAGAAATCACCCCTCTGGGCTGAAGGGTAGGGCCCTTCCCTCGCATGGTGAGTCCCTGGGTTCTATTCTCAGCTTTGAAAACAAAGTATCTCTGCTGCACACAGCAGCCTCCCTCTACCAAAGCGACAGGCTCAGAAATGACTCCGTGTGCTGAAACCACCTCTAAAGAAAAAGTTAAAAAAAAAAAAATCCCCTCTGAAATGTTGGTGTGACTACCCACGAATCACTTGACGTTTAAGTGTGGGGTGGGGGTTGGGGGTGAAAGCATTGAAGTCGGTCCTGCTACATGGCCACCTTATCTGCTCTGGGTCTTAGGCACCCCCAGTGAAGGAAGCTCCTGCGGCTGCTCTGGCTTCTCCTCTGACCCATGACCTCACCCTTGACCACTCCTGTGCTTCCACAGACCCGGGTATTCCTGCTCATCTCTCTTCACTGGGCTCTCACCTGGCAGCCAGAGGGGACATCATGAAATTGAACCCAACAGCATCTTTACACTTCAATATCCAATGTCAAAAAAGGTGCTACTGAAGCGATTCAGTGTTTATAATCACCACAAAGTCCAGTCACCCCAAAACATCTACCAGGGGCCACACTGGAGTCCCCAGAGCATGACATTCCAGGAAGGGCTGTGGGCCAAATGAAATTAAATGTGAGTGTCCAAAGAGAAGGCTGATGGATCCTCCTGGGAGGGGAGTGCTGGAGGATGTCCAGGAAGAGCCTGGTGATGCTCAGCTCCTTACAGAGAAGGTGGCGCCCCCCTCTCAGTAGAAGTCCACTTGATTTCCTGTTTGCTCCCTCACCCTCCCTCCAAAGGACCCCACAGCCTGACTCTGTTCAGCCACAGCACAGAGACACGTATAACCGTTTTCTTTTATTGTACTTAGAAGGTATCCAGGGATGGAGTGTTCAGTGAGACGAGGGTGAACCTGGCCGTCTCCATGGCCTCAGAGCTTTCTGTCTCCGGCCCAGGTTGGGCCCTCCTTTCTCCTGGGACTGAAGTTGGCCCAGGTCCCCGAGTCCACCAGGCTTGCCAGGAGCCACCTGCCCAGCAGCCACCGCCATCACTGATTGGCCTCCCGGTACTTGTGCATCAGGTCACTGACATCGGAACTTTCCACTTTCACCCAGCCGTCTTCCTTCATGTGGTACACTGTGAGCGATTGAGAAAAGAACACGGCCTCAACCCTCTCTTCAGTAAGTCAGGGGTGTGGCCTGGGCGGCAGCAGCGACTTGCAGGGACCTTCACACCCGTCTCCACCCCCACACAAGCTGAAAACATTTTCCTTCCCACTCCATCACCCCTGAGTCTCCCCAGTCTAAACCCCCTTCTCCCAGGTGTCTAGGGGAAGCACTGGTCTCTTACTATTAACAACGCCTCCAGAATAGCAATCTCTGTGGGTGGCGTGAACAATAGCCCTGCGGCCAAGGTCATAGGCCTCTTCAGGACTGAGATCCTGCCGGTAGCCACTGTCCATCACCCCATAGGCATAGGTGTTCCCGCTGCCGGTGGAGAACATCTGTCCTGAGAGCCGAGTCCCATTTTCATCTACATAGTAGAGTCCTGGTCCCTAGAAGATGGGAGACCATCCTGAGTTACATTTGTAAATACCTTGTCGGTAACAGAAAGACTCAAGTGTGATTGGTGACGTGTGGGCAGATACCGGCATGGAAACATTTGAGTTAAGACAGCGCACTGTGGCCAACATCAACACCTGAGCCAAGCATGGGGGAGGGTAGTGTCCAGTGGGTAAGGGACAGCTCATGGGGGTGGGGAGCATAGGGACAGGCCACTCACCTTCTTGTCCCAGCCGCAGATCATGCTGCCCATGGAGAGGCCCATGCCCCGGTACTGCAGCATCATGTTGGAGAGCAGCTTGGAGGCCGCAGACACGGAGATGCGTTCCCCATTCCGCAGGTAGTACAGCCTAGGTGAGGAGGAAGGAGGCCTCAGGGGCGGCAGGCCAGAGTCCGTTTTCTCCCACAGAATGAGGTTAAGAAAGGATGTAGAGATGAGTGTTGGGAAGGTACGAGCTGGCGCGATGTAGGAATGAGGGAAAGATTTGGAATTTAAAATATATGAGCCACGTTTTTAAAAGCCTGTTAAAGGACCCCATCCTAACGTGACGGTGTCCATGTTAAATAATTGGCAGATTACCTGGTGTCTAAGCAGGGGCACAGACTGAGGTTCGGGAGATTTTTAATCACACAAAGGCTATTTTATTTCTTTTGTAAAACCCCTTATTAGCACTAGGATAGATCACCAGGAATAAGTGACCTGGGAGAGTCTAGGATTGAACAAATGAGATGAGGAAATCTGCCCACCTGCATTCCTTAGCCAGCAGCCGCTCCCAGTACTGACAGTCGGCAGCACAGCCAGACATGGTGCCGAGCAGGTAAGGGTTAATCTCGATCACCTTGTTCACTCTTAGGGTGCCTAGAAGAGTTTTGAGATCAAAGGAATGAGCCCACAGCCCTCCCTGCTCACTCCACTCCACAGCTGCTCTACCCTAACTGGTGTGCAGGCCTCAGGCGCTGGCTACAGCGCATGCGTACTCACTAATGTAAGTCCCCGCAGAGGCCCGGGAGTCCACTGCCACGATGACTCCATGCTGGAACTTGAAGGCTAGCGTGGTGGTGCCGTGGGCCATCTCAATCTGAACATTCCTTTCCTGGTCACCGCCAAAGGACCTCAGGAATTCCGAAGGCTGAGAGAAAAAGGGGGCGCAGAACACCTCAGTAACAGGAGGCCCCTGGGCAGGGTTTCGGAGAGTAGTGGGTGAGGAGGGGTCTCCGAATTCTATAACCACCAATAGCCAGAGTCTAGATGGAGAAGGAAGGCGGGAGGCATGCCCACCAACCTTTCTGTTTTCCAGCACCAGGGAGCAAAGGTCATGGTAACTGACTTCAAGGTGTTTCCCCATCCGTGGCTCCCTCGGTTCTCCCAAAGCACATTTTATTGATGTGTTCTCATTTTACAGTAGAGAGGCTGAGACCTAGACTGCCTAACGTGTTCTAGGATGGTGCTGAGGCCAGGTTAGCCACCCCAGCTCATGGGTCTTCGGAGACCAAGTGTGTTCCCTCTAGCAGTGGTGACTGAGGCATAGTGATTTGTGCAGTGTCTTAGGACGGGCACCCCCCTGTCTCTGTCTCCTCCCCACCCCCCCCACCCCTACCCCGTTTTCCTCCCTCCTCCCTCCCTCCCTCCTCCCTCCCTCCCTCCCTCCTTCCCCCTCTCCCTCCCTTCCTCTCTCCCAAGCCATCATCTCCACGTGGATTCTTTAGGGCTGGCCTGGATGCTGCTCTCCTGGGCAGTCCCTCCAGGCTTCCTCATCTCCGCAGACCCAGGCAGACCCCTCCTTCCTCCACCTCCCCCTTGCATCTCTCAAGGGTCCCTGCAATCCTCACCTGCATTCCCCGGGGAAGGGCGAGCTCCGGAGCTCGCACAGAGAAACTGTAGTGTCCCGGGTCCGAGCGGTACCCACTTTCTGCACCCAGGGCGGCCCACTCGGGCCGCTGCCCCCGAGCTCCGCACAGATCCAGTAACGCCATGACCGTTCAGCCCCGGAGATCTGCCGTCGACTCTCCGACAAGGAAGTGAAAGCGAAAGCCACAGCACCAAGGGGAGGGAACAAGAACCCCCCCCGCCCCCCCCATCCCCTGCCCTTTCCGTGAAGAACCCAATCAATGGGTGTCTGAACGAAGAGTATCATACTGAGGAGCGTTTCCCTGCTGCCAGGTCTGTGAATGGGCCGGGATGGAAGAGGTGCGCCTTCAGAGGCCGCCTAGCCGTGGGGTACCTGAGCGCCCACAGGCGGGCATCCTCTGGGAACCGCGGAGGACTGGGTAGGGTCCTGACCTCTACAGGTGCTTCAGGAAAGCTGGAGCCTGAGAGGAGCACTGAGCAACTTCACTTAGGCGTGCGTCCTGAGGACGGGGGGCAGCATTCAAATAAGCGTCATTTTATAGAAACTGGAAAATACGATAACCGGGCGCATAGGCACGACCAGAAGGAGGAATGGGGAAAGACACCCTAGCGCGTGGGGAAGGGCCATTCAAGATGAGGGCGCAGGTCGGGTCTTTCCATGTGGTCCCTCCTAGGGCCCTTCACGGTTCAACAGTCTCTCCACCCTGAGGCCACCCACGCGCGCTCCTGCCCTGGGCTGCTCGCCCAGGTCCCGGCTGAGCGCTTCTTCCCGGTACTCTTATAAACCCCGCCTCTCTTTGCAACCTGTGCGGACCTCATCTGCCCAGCAACTGCTGGCGTCACACTCACCCGTCCCTCCCTAAATGGATGAGAGTTTCTAGATAATCCTACCCTCTTCTTTGAGATTATCCCGGAGTATGCCACTGAGGAGCAGAGTGAGCGGTTCAGAAAGGATCAAAGTGGATGCGAGGTGGCCTGGGGTGGCATCCTGGCTTCCCCAGCCGCTGCCGTGCTTCCTCCCGCCTCAGCGAGGAAGAGTTGGGCTCAGAGATGCAGCTGCTGATGCCTTGGGCTGCGGGGAGGGGAGGGGATGCCTCCCCGTCCTGCTCAGCGCGGGGAGTCGATGGGTAGGTAGGAAAAGAGAAGCACAGGAGATAAAAGATGATAGGACCCAGCAGTAAAACAGAGGCTCTGAAGAGCGAGACCCCGGACCCAGCAGTAAAACAGAGGCTCTGAAGAGCGAGACCCCGGACCCAGCAGTAAAACAGAGGCTCTGAAGAGCGAGACCCCGCGCTGTGTGGGGAAGGGTGCGGGCTAACTCGGTGGATGCTGAGAAACAGGAGAAGCCACAGTACAAAACACCAATTTTATTATAAATATCAAGAGCCCACGGGTTATCCATAGTCCAGCCTATGCCTTTGGTTAATTACAAGCTGCTCGTCCTTCCTCTCTGTACATTTTGAGCGTTTCTTCTCATAGGTTCCAACACCACATAAACCAAGTTTGTTGGTGCACGCTGTGTACCAGATAGCACCAGGAGAGTGGAGGCAGGAGAATCAGGAGTTCAAGGTCTTGGACGCAAGTTTAAGGTCAGCCTGAGGTGCCTGAACCCCAGTCTAACTAAGGGGCAGAGGTGGGGGTAACATTCATGGTTAATTCCGGCCATCTCCTAGGTGTTATTTTATCTTGTAGCAAAAGCCTCGGCGCCTCAACTCCCTGGTCAGTGGGTGTGGTGCTATCTTTGCCCCCAGGTTCTCCGCCACACAGAGCAGAGGGCAATGGAGGAGGGCAGTGCGTAGTGGGCAGCTCCGGAAGCCTGTCAGTCCGAAGGAGCCGCAAGGGCCTCCACCATGGCCCGGTAACACCCTCCACTCTTCTCCATGAGCTGCAGATGGGTGCCCTGCTCGCAGACAGAGCCTTCTTTGAGAAAGAGGATGTGGTGAGCCTGCTCCGCCAGGCTGAGCTGCTGGGTGATAAGCAGCACCGTTGGAGGAGCCGGCCCGGGGCTCTCATACAGGAGCCGCTGGACCTGCAGAAACACAGACCTTACAGGGCAGGGTCCTCTGGACTTCCAGGGCTGGGACACACTGTCACCTGCCAACACCCCCGAGGATGCTAATGTTCCTGGTCCGAGTGCTTCTCTCCAAACCCTTGTTCTGTTGAGGCCTCTTTGCAAGAGGCGGCCCAGATGCACAAAAGCACAACATGGAGGGAACTGAGCAGTCGCTCATCCCCCATAATAGTCTATCAGTGAGCTGGGAAATTTTAATTTATTTTTAATTTCTTCTTCTCTCATATATTACATCCCAACTGGAAAGTTTCCCCTCCCTCCTCTCCTCCCAGTCCCTCCTCTCCACCTCCCCTCTCCTCCATCCACTCCTCCTCTGTTTCCCTTCAGAAAAGGGCAGGCCTTCCAGGGATATCAACCAAACATGGCATATCAAGTTGCAATAAGACTAGGGTTGCCTCGTTCAGCCTTAACATGTGGGAATTTTTTTTTCACATTAGTTTATGCTTTGAGAATTTCATCCATGTATACAATGAAATATAATCATACCACCTCCCATTTCCCTCCTCTCCGCCCCCCAGGACCCACCCCATACATCCCCTTCACTACTGCATACATCTTTTTTAATAACCCCTAATAAACTGAGGATTTTTATATTATTTAAAGAAGTTTAACTTTGGAGCTGGAGAGATGTTGCAGAATAATCCTCTACACTGTGTGAAGATGTGTCACTGTGATTGGTTTTAATAAAGAGTTGAATGGTCATTTCCTAGGCAGGAAGAGGTTAGGTGGGACTTCTGGGGACAGACAGGACTTGGAGAGGAAGACAGCAGAGTCGCCTGTGAGATGGAGAGGAAGCAGGGTGGGCAGTGCAGAGTAAAGGTAACCAAGCCACGTGAAAGAATGTAGATTAAAAGGTACGGGTTAATTTAAGTTATAAGAACTAGTTAGAAACAAGCCTAAGCTAAGGCCGAGCTTTCATAATTAAAAATAAGTCTCCAAGTCTTTTTTTGCGAGCTGGTGGCCCAAAGAATAATCCGTCTACAGAGAGACGACTCAGCGGTTAAGGCACTGGCTGCTCTCTCAAAGACCCGGGGTTGAGTCCCAGCACCCACCTGGTGGCTCACAACCATCCATAACTCTAGTTTCAGGGGATCCAACACCCTCTTCTGACTTTTGAGGGCACTAGGCACTCATGTAATGCACATATATTCAGGCAAAACGCTCAGTACATAAAATAAATCTAAAAAAAATTAAAGAAAAATTTAACTTGGTAACAAAGAACGTGAGAATTCAGGTAGATGACTTGGATTTGGATCCACTGCTCAAGAGCTGTGTGACTTTTAGAAGGTTGATCGACCTCTCTTAGTCTCTATTTTGCCATCCAAGAATAAGCAGAGCAAAGGACTCCTGATGGACATGGATGACTGAGTTCAAAGGGCAGGATGGCTTGTGGTGCTCAAGGCAAGCCTAGCCCACATCGGCACTGTTGGGGCAGAGGCCCTTCTCACTGGTTCTGAGTGTCCTGGAGAAAAGCTAACGGGAACTGAGAATTCCAAAGACAGGTTTGAACAGTTACATGATGGCATAACTAACAGGATGAGCAACAGAAGCAAGATCCCATGGAACCGAGACCTTAGGAAGATGATGCAGCAGGGTAGCCCCGCCCTCTGGAGGTAGCAGCAGGAAGACTGCCATGGCTCTGTGCTATGGATTATTTTAACTGGGCAAAGATGTGTTACATTTGTTTATGCTGTGGAATGTTACTTTAACTATGTAAAGGTGTGTTACATTTGTTTATGCTGCATTTGTTAAATGATGTAAGGATATGTGTTTAATTATGTAAAGACGTGTTATATCTGTTTCACCTTGCCTGCCTAAGGCACCTGACTGGTCTAATAAAAAGCTGAACAGCCAATAGCTAGGCAGAGGAGGGACAGGTGGGGCTGGTGGGCAGAAAGAATAAATAGGAGGAGGAATCCAGGCTTGAAAAAAAGATTGAGAGAGAACAAGGGAGAAAGAGAGGGAGGTGCCTGGGCCAGCCAAATAGACACAGAAGAAGCAGGAAAAGTAGGACAGAGCAAGAAAAGGTAAAAAGCCTGAGGCAAAAGCAAGATAAAGAGAAACCAGTTAATTTAAGCTAAAAGAACTAGCCAGAAACGAGCCTAAGCTAGGCTGAGCATTCAGAACCAATAAGTCTCAGTGTCAGGGAGCTGGGTGGCGGCCACAAAAAGAAAGCCTGCTACTCCTCTGAGGCCAGCATGGTCTTCAAAGTGAGTTCCAGGCCAGCCAAGACTATAGTGAGACGGTCTCAGAAAGACAGATGACAACTAGAGCCTTACCCGTAGCTGGTTACCGGCATCCAGGGCACTGGTGGCGTCATCCAAGATGAGCAGGCGTGGCTTCCGGATCAAGGCTCGGGCCAAGGCCACCGCCTGTCGCTGACCCCCTGACAGCTGGTTCCCAGCCTCACCCACCTCTGCAGACAAGAGACCAGCTGAGATGTAAACAGGTGTGTACACACACAAGACACACATATATACACATGCACACACACACATTCACACAGAGAGACACACATTCACACACATACAGACACTCACGCATACATACAAACATTCACATAAACACCCATTTTCACATATAGAGACACATTCATACAGAGCGAGACAAAGTCACACACACACAGATTCTCTCTCACACAAATACACATTCACACACACATACGCACAGACACATTCACGCATAAACGTACACTCACACCAACACATACACTCTCACACACAATATCTCTCTCTCTGTCTCTCTGTCTCTGTCACACACACACACACACACACACACACACACACACGACCAACAGAGGCAGCTGGAAGGGAGGCCCTGGGAAGGTGGGTAGAGTTCTGAGGATGTGAATCACAGAAACAAGACTTTTAACTACATATTGAAGTCCAAAGGGAGGAGCAATTGAGTAATAAAGCAGGGTTATTGGAATCTGGAGGTGAGATGGAGAACCTGTGTCATAGCCCTGAGGGAGTCTGGAGGTGAGATGGAGATACCTGTGTCATAGCCCTGAGGGAGTCTGGAGATGAAATCGTGGGCTCCAGACTTCATGGCCACAGCTGTGATTTCCTCCATGGTTGGATTCCGGGTCAGGCCATAGGC